TCCCTGTGATACTGAATTAATTTTTTTAAAACAAAACCTACTTATTCTTATGTCATCAGAGATATGCAGATTTCACATGTCTTCCTGAGGACAATGATGTAAACTTGATTTAATAAATTTACCACAGACCAAATGGTCTTTGTTATCACAGTGCATTGTGGGTATTAGATATGAAGAACAGGGTGAAAGTACTTGATGCTGCTTAATTTGCATAATCTCACACGGACAAAATAAAGAGACTCAACAAACCACTCATGCTAACAAAATAAATAAGAACTGAAAAAAAAAATGTGACATATTGTAATCATCAAGTTAAAATAATTTTTTTAAAAAAAACTATAAATTGGGAAAAGTAAATAGAAACAAAATAATGAAATCAATAAATACAAAATGGTGGGATTAAGGCTATTTTTCGGAACAGCCTTTAAAAAAAGAACTTTTGGAGCATAATTCAATTTATAACCATGGGAATGCAATAAAAAGATTTTAAAAAATTATAAAAAAAATAACATATATACATGCGTCATATTGCAGGATGACAAAACAACGCCATTTTAAAAATTGTTGCTGCAAAATATACTGCATTACCACTGTACATAAACTATTAGAAATTCATGTTTACATTCAAAATTCATACTGCACTGCTATGTCTGTTGGAATAAAACAAAAGCTGCTTGATTCACAGCTAAGAGCTTAATATTTAAAAAAAAAAATCACTTCCCCAAAATATTGCAACGTTCTGAAAGAAGTCTGAACTTACAAATACAACATGAAAATCTCGAAACTGGTTGCCACGGAAACAGTCTGCATCATTACAGGACAGTATCCTACAATCGTGCTGGTCATGGTGACTATGGCAACACTTTTCAATGAACAGCCTCTTTCTAAAAATCGCTAGTATTCAATTTACGACGAGAGTAAACTTCTTTGGGGAGGGACAATAATTGTTCCAACAGCCAATGCACTCTAAGCTTGTACTTCTTTCTTGACGTCCATATCAATATCATTCAAATCGGCTTCTCGTGATACTTCATAATCTTCGGGCCTAAAAAGATAATTTTTTCCAGTTTTAGCATTGTTACATTTATTGATAATATTTATTTTATTTACAAAACCAACCTAGGAAAGATCAAGACAAAGTAATTAACACACACATTGTTATTTGACCCCGTATCCAGCTGGTAATTATCTGGTGTATTGATTGAAAGGACCAGCTGGTAATTATCTGGTGTATTTATTGAAAGGACCAGCTGGTAATTATCTGGTCTATTTATTGAAAGGACTAGCTGGTAATTATCTGGTGTATTTATTGAAAGGACCAGCTGGTAATTATCTGGTGTATTTATTGAAAGGACCAGCTGTTTTACCTTAACATGCAAATTGATTTTACAACATGCAACACTGGGTGAAATTAGAGGGATAGGTACTGGAAACATTCAACATCACAAACATGTATATTCTATGACAAAAGAAATTAGGTTAAAACAGAAAGTAAGAAAGTATTTGTCATCAAAAATCATTAAGTTGACGTCATCACATTATGTATAGATTCAGAAGAACACTTAAAGTCATTGACCTTTTACACTCAGTGTGTTATCCCCCAACTTGTGTATGCATGGTGCTATGTACTATTATATTCAATGTTGCCATCCAGTGTGATTTGCTGAGTGATTTGCGAAATGTTTTCAAATGTAAAGTTCCCTCTAAAATAAGATCAAAGTCAATTTAAAGAAACAAATTTATGGTATTATAATAATACACAGTTTACTTACTTAACTGTATCATAATTCTAATGCAATATTCATTAAATTAACGAGCCATATAAATCTTTAATTTCTATTTAGAGATTGAACTTCTATTGCACTTTATAGTTTCAAATCTACTGTAACAGTCAGAAACCTAGACTCATCAACACGGGGGGATACAGTTAATAAGTGGAATGGCCCATCATCAGATTTTGGGAAAACACAATTATTAATTAAATTATTCTAAACATTACATCCATCCCAAAAAATATCCCACCCAAAGTATGTAAAGATGCTAAATGAACAGAGAAACTGTAACATTAATGCAATAATGTTTGAATGTAATTAAAAATACTGAAAAATACTGAGCTGAAATGCTTTTAAGACATCTGTTCAAATTACTGTGTGTCATTTTAATCAAATATTTCTTTGTTGGACTTTCTAGATCAAAGCAAAATGACAAGGCATAGCATAGAAGACATTAGTCTGGAATATTAAATCTAATCTGTTCACCTTACAAAATATACTACAACGGTCGTTATAACAATCATACTTATTAATATGGAGATGAGTCAAAGAAGACTATACAATAAAACTATGAAATTATATTTGACATGACTACAATTCGTAACATTGTTAATTTTCCAATCTTTAACCTAAAGGTCAAATCACACTGGTAGTTGGCGTACGTTGAATTAATTTGCATAAATTAAAATATAAATTATGAAATAGAGGGTTGTTAAGGTTATTTGCAATCTGCAATCATTGATAGAGTGAAGAACACACAGACCCTTTCTTAGGTTCTTGATCAGGGGTCAAGGCAGGATTCTCTCGCTGTACTTCAGCTGGTTTGGCGTCGGGGTTATTCTGGTCCTTCCTGTTCATACACACACACACCATATGAACAACGTACAACAATGGTATGATCATGGTAGATGGGTGGAAGGAGAAAAAGTAGGAATGATAGAAAGAGAAATGAGTATCTAATAAAAAACTATGGTCGTCTTTTTAAAATATGCAGGCCCTCATAGGTTAATAAAGTTTAGACATAAATCCTTGTTGAACAATTATCCGCGATTGAAAAAACATTTACATGGTATCTTGGTAAAAAAACAATCACTGTAAATGTACAACATTATTAATCAGACAGAATCATATGATTATACACAAAGGTCTAAAAAAGCGAAATGACCAAACTTCATGTGGTCAATCATGGTTTTATAAAATGGAAATTATATTTTTAAATGTGCTCAAACCTATTAGTATTATAAATTATGTGAGTGACAAGTGAATAGTAGCAAGAAAATAACTGAGCACGACTACACAGACACATTTCACAAAATTGTCCACATTGTCACTTTTTATGCACTATAGATTTTTAGACAAAACTTAACAGCTGTGAAAATCACGATTGATTTTTAGGAGTGATATTAAATGCAGTACAATAATATCACAAAAACCAAAAACAAATTATAAATTAAATCAAATATTTTTTTAAATAATGTAGAAAAAGCCAGGCAAAACAGTATGCTCCATGTTTTTGCGACTGAAACATTCCGATAATATTTGACAAAGATTTATAGAATAGGAAATCAAATTTGAAAGTTTTATGAATTGTACATACAATAATAAACAATGCCAATGAGAGTACCTGTGAAAGAAAGTTTGATTCAAAAGTGATATTTTTGTCTTTCGAAAAGATTGATAGTGTCACTAATTTCTGTCTCAAAAATCTACAGTCACCAACAACACATTCATAGGATGGTAGTCACCAACAATACAAGGACACATTCATAGGATGGTACACAGTCACCAACCCTTTCAAGAGAGACTCCTTCTCATCATCCCCTGTCTCATTACTTTCTTTCCTCTCTTCCGGATTATCCTTACTGTCAATGGTTGTTGGGATGGTAACAGATAGAATGGATGCAAGGATGGATGGATGGAGAATGAGTGTACCATTAGTAACGTAACAACTTCAAAATAAGACAAGTATTCAATATTGCCATATATCTCAATGAGTACATCTAAAGGAAATTTAATGAGAATCTCAGCAAATGTTGTGAATATTACTATAATTGCGTACAAGTGTAATGTTGAAAAAAAACATGCACAGCACTTTTTCTTTTTTTAACTAATTTCAAATTGTTTTCTGTAATATGAGAAATTAGATTTAGCTCCAATTAACAAACAAATCAGTTTCTATTTTCTCAGACGAGTGTTATTTGCAAATATATACATGTATATTGGAAACAATAAACCCATGTATGTAACATGAACTAGTTTTGTTTTGTGAGAAGCATACAAGTTAATTTAAGAATACATCCCAATGTATTTAACTATTAGCTTTATGCGTAACAAGTTGATGCGTCAGTACAGTGATGTTTCATATAACATTTTCATATTGAATAATTCCTTATATGGCAATATTGTTGACAGAATCAAAGATTTTGTTTAAATTTACTGCAAAGTTTTTAATGAATTCATAGAACATGCAAGAATAAGCAAGAATGGAATCATTAGAAAGAAAGAAACAATGAGGGGGATGAAATGTCAGATGCAAATTATAAAATGAATATCTACCCCACCCTTATTGCTACCCTGAGGACTTGACATACAGTAGATATCATCAGAAACAGTGCAGTACAACAATATCCAAAGTAGCGGGCAAAGATCCACATGTCTGACAGTGTTTTTGCCAAGACTTGGGAATGCAGCAGGTAACACAATTGAGGAACATTAATAAATTTCAGACTCCACTCCCCTATCACTCATCCAAATCAAGATCCCAGAAGAATTAATTATTACTTTCCAAATTATACCATTTTGAAGTAATTTTAATAACACAGCTCCCCTAATCACTCATGCCACTGTGTTCAGGAGAGCTGATTTTTATTTCCCAGGCCATATTCAAGGCCTGAAAAATTCATATGGAGAACAAGTTTAATGGACTCCAATACCTGCTTATTGCCCTTAACAAAAAAAAGTGTCTGACATGCACACCACACAGACGACACAGACATGACAGACTGCAGTACCAGTATATACACCAGGAAAGATACCTTAGTTTATAAAGAGGCAGGTAAGAATATTTATTTGACATCAAATATAATCAGTGCAGCAGTAGTTATTTGTGCAGCAAAAGAAAGGAATGTTGTTAGTGATTATTATGCCACACAATGCAAGCAAATTACACCTAGAAAAAGACGTAAAGCATTAATTGTACAAACTCTGTTAGCAGGTGGTCACTTTCCAATGGTTCTGGTTCCTCCTCTTTCAACTCCTCATAATTGTGAACATCCTCCTCTTTGCTATTATTGTCAAGCAGGATTAGAAATGAAACACCAAAAATAAATATTAGTACTCAACATTCAGCTTTCAAGCATGTGCTATGTATTAGGTTACAGTACAGGTTTGTTTTTATTTGACAGGAAACACAGTTATGGGGGAATTACACAATTAGGTAATGTGAGGGCACAAAAGTATTGTCTAGATTACACATTTGAGAACAGTGGGCACAAAAGAATTTCAAAGATCACAGACAAGAACAAAAACATTGAAAGTTTTAATTTTAAAAACAAAAGAACTTTATGATAACAGTTTGAGGGCGCTATTTGCGGCTTTACTCATGTTGATGTTTTCCCAACTATGTATGTGCAAACAAACTAATAAGCATCACACTTGGATGTCATGTGATCACAATCAAAATTTCCTGCTTTTTTTATCGTCTCTCACATCTATGGTCTCATAATAATTAAACAAGACATGCACATCATTAACAACATTTCAAAATTGAGCATATTACGCCCTAACACCTAAAAGGGTGTACATGTTATGACACGAACAGAAAATCCAAACTACCTTGTTGCACCAATCAAATGTTAAATAAACAAAAAGAGCAGGTGTATCAAGGTTTTTTTTCATGAACAAGAACGTCGACGAGGAGAGGGACAACAATAACCAAAGAAAATCCAAAAAGAAATGTACATAAATACATTGGTTTTGAAACAAATAGTAAAATAACAACCAAATACATGCAAACGTATATAAAAATTGAAACAAACCCCTCAGAATCAAAACTATCTTCCGGAGGTGGTTTTTCTGTGGAATCTCCGTCAGTTTCAATCTTTTCCATCGGCATGTCATCCCCCTTAACAGGAGTACCATCAGGTATCTGATCATCACTGGGTCTAGATAGAAAGCTTACACCAATAAACTTGTGCCATGGTTAAACATAAATACTTAACTTGACCAGAAAAGGATCAAAATCAAAGTATTTTATAAATAACTAATTAATTGCAGGATAATATTTAGTGTTATTTAGATTTATTTCCAAAGCTCCATCTTTATCAGAAATTCAAACATGTTCTAGAGCTGGAAGCTTTGATCAAAATAATTTAGAACATTTAAGACAAGCTTTGTGTCATCTCAGAATTGTTGTACATAAATTATGCACTGAGTGTGATAGACGAATAAGAAAATCACCAAACTGATAGAATTTGTGTAAAATATAAAAGATGAATACCATATCTGTATTATTTGTCAAAAATATGCAGATCTTAAAAAATTCCACATTCCTAAGTACAAATACATAAACCCTATGAAAAGTTTTTCTCTTTAATGCAATCACAGGGTACAATTGTATTACTTAAAGCGAGGGAGTCATCAGATGGCCATAGCGTGTCATTGTTTACAAACAATTGTTGTTGTCGCTTGGGACTCGATTCCCACGTGTGCGCAGGTAACAACCCTCTCCCTTTAACTTGTCTAAATTTATTTTCTTTGTTATTAAAAACATGTTTGCATAAGCAGATGTGTTTGAATTTTGATTTGTTTTGATAATATGTATTTGAAATAAAATAAATTATATATTCTGTAATATAATATTTAAATGAGGTTGTTAAAGAATGGTTTCAATACTTGAGATGTAAAGTATATTGTATTTAATATTTATTTTTTTATTTAATGGTGATCAGTACCCACAAGACTTTTGAAGGTGTATCTTTGAAACTTGACGAAATTTATGAGTAGAAACAAGTTTTCAACAATTCAAATTTGAATTTTATTGAACGATAAATGTTATTACTTTCAGAGTCAGATACAAAATAATACCAGACATAAACTAATCAGGCCACAGCATTGTTTTCGTAAATGTGCAAAACAGGAAAGGCATCTACATTGATTAATATAAGTATTTTAAAATATATAAATCAATCAGAACACCAATGTTAAGGATATGGGCTAAAACACGAATAACTAATTATTTAATCATTTATTAATTAATCTTTCATCCTGGATATCAAGTCAATCTCCCAATCTCTCTTGTTCATTCCCAGTAAGCAATTGACAAAACATTTAAACATGAAGATATATTCTTATATATTCAGCATATTAAATTAGTCAGAGTTACCTAGATTTAGTTTCAGGGTGTAAAGTTATGCAAGGTACATAAAAAAAAGGTGCATTTTAAATTAACAGTCCAGGTTAGATAATCAACAATTGTCTACAGTAAACAAGATTCTTTGACCCAGGAGTTGCATTGCAAACTCCTTG